GAAATTTTTCACAGTCGTTCCTATAACATTTTTTCTTCTAGAGAAAGTCTAATTTGCTTTATTTTGGCTAGAATAAAAGAAGATTTAAACTTTTTTTATGAAAGTTTTTAAGGTGCCTTGTTGATGCAAGAGGTCAGAGGAGAATGGCCAGACTGGTTCCAGCTGATAGAAAGGCAACAGTAACTCAAATAAGCATTCATTACAACTGAGGTCTGCAGAAGAGCATCTCTGAACACACAACACTTCCAACCTTGAGGCGGATGAGCTACAGCAGCAGAAGACCACACTGGGTGCCACTCTTGTCAGAAACTAAGTCTACAATTGGCACAGGCTCACCAAAATTAGACAATAGAAGATTGGAAAAGCGTTGCCTCGTCTGATGAGTCTCGATTTCTGCTGTGACATTCGGACGGTAGAGTAAGAATTCGCCATCAACAAAATGAAAGCATGAATCCATCCTGCCTTGTATCAACGATTCGACTCGTGGGGGTGGTGTAATGGTGTGGGGGATATTTTCTTTTATTATGTATAATATTATATTTGATTATAATATATTTTAATAAATAATATAATATATATCAATTTTCTTAAAGACCGGATTGCGATTATTATATATTATATTATATTATATTATATTATATTATATTATATTATATTATATTATATTATATTAAATTATATTATAAAATGAGGTATAATATAATATAATATAATATAATATAATATAATATAATATAATATAATATAATATAATATAATATAATATGGCTTGTTAGCACATTTTGGGCACATTAGCACCAATTGAGCATTGTGTCAACACCACAGCCTACCTGAGTATTGTTGCTGACCATGTCCATCCCTTTATGACCACAGTGTACACATCTTCTGATAGCTACTTCCAGCAGGATAACGCACCATGTCATAAAGCCTGCATCATCTCAGACTGGTTTCTTAAACATCGCAATGAGTTCGCAGTACTAAAATGGCCTCCACAATCACCAGATCTCAATCCAATAGAGCACCTTTGGGATGTGTTGGAACAGGAGATGGCATAATGGATGTGCAGCCGACAAATCTGCAGCATCAGCGTGATGCTATCATGTCAATGTGGAGCAAAATCTCTGAGGAATATTTCCAGTACCTTGTTTAATCAATGTCATGAAGGTTTAAGGCAGTTCTGAAGGCAAAAAGGAGTTCAACCTGGTACAATTAAGGTGTACCTAATAAAGTGGTCAGTAAATGTATATTGAACTGTATATCGTTATTGTTCAACATGGAAAATAATTATGGAGATTGCATTTTTGCCGTCTCACCCAGCCCTAACTGAATGTGTGCATTTTATTTGATCTGCTCATGCAATTTATGCAATTTTAGACTTGTTTTTAGGTTCATCCATTTGCCAGGACACTCTTACCCAAAGTGAGGTGAAGGTGCATTTCATCAGTTCATGCATTTTATTTTATTTCAGCTTTTTTTATGTCCATAAATTTAGCAGAGTGCTTTGAAGAAGGTGTGCATTTTATCAGTTCACTATATTGTATTTGTGTGCTTTCAGCAATTGCACACACAGTGCACAGCCTAAATGAGTCCACCTTCTTTAAAAATGACTATTTCATCCATTTCTCAGTCGATATAGACAACATATTTTGCTGCAGTTAAACAAAACAGTTTATTAAATCACTGCATTCATTAAAATAAGAGTTTGGTCACCTAACATCTGTAGGGAAAAAAAAAAACATTTAAACCCTTTAAGAAATTCTTATTACGTTTTATCCCTTTGTCATATGTAACTTTACTGTTTTTGTATGTGTGATGATGTGTTTTTTGGATTTTAGGTTGCCCTTTACAATCTGGCAGGGGGCAACAGATGAAAAACTCTGGCTTTTTTACAGTTTTACTGTTGATTAATGAGCATTGTCCCTGTTAAATAAAAAAATTTATTCAAATCAATAAAACGTTGCAAATAATAATACAATTTATAATAACAAATTACAAAATTTCAACTAAATTTACTATTTATGGTTTTCTTATTGTTATAATATTACCTTAATTACTATGACTATATAATTCATTCTCTTTTCGCCTTAGTCCCTTTATTAATCTGAGGTTACCACAGCGGAATGAACCGCAAACTATTCTAACAGAATGAACCTACGCCAACACGGGGAGAACATGCAAACTCCATACAGAAATGCCAACTGGCCAGGCCGAGGCTCAAACCAGTGACCTTCTTGCTGTGAGGTGACAATGCCACACACTGCGCCACCGTGCCACCCAACTACATAATTTATATCATTTTAGTATATTATTATTCATTGGGCCGTATATAATAGCAAATATCATATAGCATGCTATGTAATTATATCATATTTAACTTGAAAATGCACTAAAAAAACAACCAAAACAAACAATGCTCCAATAACCCTGCTTTTAAATCTGCTGTTTAGAGGAACTGAACATCTCACAGATTATGCATTTGAAATTACTTGACTCTCAAAATCTTCAGCGGCATTTCAATGAAAAAGGATGGAAAGATTGCCCACAGTAAAGTGTTTTTTCTTTCTTTGTTTCTCTATCAGAGGAGAATAATTTAGCTCTGAAACATTGCAGGTGTTCAAAGAATTAAAAGAAACAGTGTTTGTCGTGTGTGTCTGTCGCCATCTAGTGGAAAAACGAATAACAAATACCAGTCAGTTCACCCAAACAATGAAAATCCTGCCATCGCTTACTAAACCATCACTTGCTACAAATCCGTTTGAGTGTCTTTTGTTTCTGTTGAACACAAATTAAGATATTTTGAAGAATGTTGAAAACATGTAACTAGGGCTGCACAATATACTGTTTCAGCTTCGATATCGCAATGTGCAAAACTTGAGAAACACTGCAGGACCTGAAAATTCATGTTGGGTTTAATAAATCTTGACCTAATCTAATAGGTTGTAATAGTGTGAAGGATTTTCATTTTAATGTATTTTTAAGGCCTATGACTCTAGGATTTCAATTGAATTTAAACCATTTGGGCACAAGAATTTCTAAAGCTTGAAGAAAGTCTGTGATTTTAACAAAAATTGTTTAATTATTTATCCGATGACGACTTAATGGTGTTAATTTACATTTGATTATTGCGTTTCTGAACCACAAAGCTGTTAGACTCCAAAAACCGAGAAGCATCGTTTACTTCACTTTTAGTTTTGTTCTGTTCTCATCTGTACTTTGATTTTATTTTGTTAAGTTTTGTATATTTCACACAGATGTCTTCCCAAAATTATGAATTCTTTCCAAATAGAGCTACTCAAGTCATCTTATGAAGTTATATTAAAATGCAATACCTTATTTATTTTAATTTAATAACTCAAAAGCAATATAATATAAAGTATAGAATAAATTTAGTAAACTTAGTAAATATAAAATAAAGTAAATATATAGTTTGATAAATCATACATTATGTTTGCTCAATTATTTATTTCAATGAATAAAATATAAATAAATAAAAAAACTAACAGTAAATATATACTATTTGTATGTTCACACACTTTTTATTTATTGATTTTTATTAATATCTAAATGCAAAAAACAAAAAGTAAATATATATACCTTGATATATCATAATTGTCTGTTCAGCTTAATACATTCCCATTAAGATTGGGGAGGGGGACTGTTGGAGAAGGAGAAAAACAAATTAAATAAGCTTATAAAAAGGGCAGGGTCTGTTGTGGGGTGTGCACTACCTACCATAGAAGAGATTGCACAGGATCGAATGCTGGACAAATTTGTTAGTATAATGAACCACGATAGTCATCCCCTTTTTGAAACAGTCCAAGCGTGTGCAAGTTCTTTTAGTACAAGATTAATTCAACCCCGGTGTTACAGAGAAAGATACAGGAAGTCTTTTTTACCAACAGTGATCAGATTGTATAACCAAAGTCATACCAGATGAATTGTGCTGAACTTAATTAGATATTAGATATGTACAAGTGTTTACTCGTTGTTTTTGGAACCAAGGTGTGCAGTTTGAAATGTAATTCAATTATTGTTTTTTATATGTATGTAACTTATTTATCTATTTTTAGTATGGAGAGCTCTGCTGTCACATGTAAATTTCCCTCCGGGGATTAATAAAGTCAAACTGAACTAAGATTCTGATCACCCCAGCACTTGATTTTATTTCATCATCCCCCCAAAAATCTTAAAATCAACAGCAAAACTTTTGCAATTATTCTCTCATATGAAGTTCATCAGCTCCATTTTCTACTGTTTGTTCAAACTTTGAATGCAGATTGTCACAAACAAGCAGCGGTTGGGCTGAAAACCTCAGAGCTGATTAAAGTTTCGCCTCGTCTCAAATACTAATGAGGTGACTGAATGTTCCCCGCAGAGAAATATTAAAGAGGACATCTCAGCACTTCTCCTTCCTTCCAGTCTATTTAAAACGCATCAGAAATAATAAAAGTTATGATATAGCATACTGGGATAGACGACATAACTTTTGTCAGATCGCATATATATACCATATAAAACTATATGATCTTTACAGTAACCTTAAAGGGGACCTATTATGCCTCTTTTTACCAGATGTAAAACAAGTCTCTGATGTCCCTAGAGCACAGGTGGGCCGCAGCTCTGCACAGTTTAGTTTCAACCCTAATTAAACACACCTGATCAAACTAATTGAGTCCTTCAGGCTTGTTTGAAACCTACAGGTAGGTGTGTTGGAGCAGGGTTGGAACTAAACTGTGCAGGGCTTCGGCCCTCCAGGAATTGAGTTTGACACCCCTGCCCTAGAGTCTTTTGCCAATAAGGGAGAGATCGTCACTAATGGGCGGAGCTTCCTCCCTCTGATCACATGTACAAAGTGAGAATGTCAATCAAAGTTTCTCTGCAGGCTGCAAGTGTGATTATAAAACTTAAAATGAATACATGAATACCAGTTGAGGCTGTTTGTGGGTGAGTTCATTTTCGTTATTTGTGTGAACAATCCATTTAAAGCAGCTTTCTCTTACCTGTCATTGAATTCTCAGACGTGCTCAGCTGCTCCCTCAGTTTGTCAACGTCGTCTGGATGGACCTGCTCGAACAGTGTGCTACCGAACCACTCTGACTGCGGATGGTTGAGGACAGGAGTCACCGAATCAGACACGTAGATCACCCGTCCCGTCTCAGCCGCAACCACGAACAAGAAGCCATCGGCCGCCTCCAGAATCAAGTGCTTCAGCTCCTGCCACAGCAAACAGATTCAGATTCACATGAGAGGTTTATAAATGACATTTTGGTAAAAAGCCACGCCCATTAGTGACAATCTCTCCCTCATTAGCATAGACCGCCCTGAGTGAGAAGAAGCCATCTGCCTCTGGGGCTCTGATTGTACCTGCTGAAGATTTTTTAAGTTTTGAATCTGCCACTATGCTGACACAGAGGCATTTGGAGATCCGCCCTCTTTTAAATAGAGCACAAGCTCATTTGAATTTAAAGTGACAGTCACTAAAAAGTAGGGGTGTCAAAATTAATTGTTTCTTCGGTGCACCGCGATGCAGACGCGGACAATTCTGTATCGGTTCAGTAATAATCATAACCGGTTATTATGTACTGACGTCATTTATCTCCTATGCGCTTTGTCGCGAGGGAGGCGAGCGCGAGTATTTACAACACTCAGGCAACTTGGGCCGGCCCGTGGCATAGGCACCATAGGCAAATGCTAAGGGCGCTGTACATCCAGGGGGGCGCCAGAAATGAGCGTGGTTCAGTTGGTTTTGTTTTCGATTTTTCTGACACACATTCAGTTATAGACGGCAATAACTCAAAAACCTCTTACCCTAAAAAAATCTAAAGTGAGTTTCCTACAAAAAGACAAAGCTGGTTGTGTTTCACAGCTGTCTTTCTTTTTTTTTTTGCTCGACATTACAATCAATGCTCCGTTTAAGCCCTCCCAATATGTGTTTAGCAGGGAGAGCTTGCGGTGAGAGGAGCTCTCAGTAAGGGGCCGTCGGAAAAGTGTTTCCGTTTTTTCTTTTTCTGCTCAGCGCGAGCTCTCCCTGTTGCGAGGGCTTAAGAGTGTGTGTGTGTGTGTGTGTGTGTGTTTGTTTGGTGCTGTCTATGTTTGTGTATGTGTTTGAATGAGAGACAGTGTGGTGCTAAGTGTCTGTGTGTTTATACAGAAAGCTTGTTATAGCCTCTCCTCTAAAATATAACACTGTATATGGAAAGCATCGTCAATGCACCGTGATGCACCGAGATATCGAATTGAACCGAAGGCAAGATAATCGTAACCGAACCGTGAGACCAGTATAGGTTCACACCTCTACTAAAAAGACCCAATTAGGATCAAAGCCTAAAAGAGGCAGATTCAAAAAGTTATGAAGCATTGTTTGTTGGTGATTTTGAGCTGAAACTTCACATACATACTCCAGGGACATCAGCAGAGGTGGGTATTGACGAATTACATTTATCTTGTTACATGTACTTGAGTAAAATTGTTGGGTAACGTGTACTTTTTGAGTACATTTTAACAATGTGTACTTTTACTAAAGTAAATGATTAGAGAAAAATCAGCACTCTTACTTCGCTACATTTGGCAGTGCTCCTTCGTTACTGTCAAATGATAATAAATATGATTCATATGAAATATCGCGAGGCGCCGTATTGGAGAAGTTGTGTCGCGAGAGGTTGCTGTAGAGCAGGGGTGTCCAAACTCGGTCCTTGAGGGCCATTGTCCTGCAGATTTTAGCTCCAACTTGCCTCAACACACCTGCAAGGATGTTTCTAGAAAGCCTAATAAGAGCTTGATTAGCTAGCCCAGGTGTGTCTGATTGGGGTTGGAACTAAACTTTGCAGGACACCGGCCCTCCATGACCGAGTTTGGACATACCTGCTGTTGAGACTCCCGCTTTCTGTTGGAATCAATGGTTGGAATAATGGCTGAAGTCGAGAAAGGCGTGTGAGTTGGTTTATACTGCGGTCACGCCATGGCCATCTTCGGTTTCGAGCAGGACGGTCACGCTGTCTGTGTGGTGAGTTTATCAGACCAGGTCACACATGTTCAGTCTGTTTTCACTCCAAGATGTCAACAAGAATAGTTTGATAATGCGATCCTTGCTGTACATCGAACTGACATTGCAACTTACTGTATACATGAGTTACAGCTTCAACCTTAAAAAAAAAAAAAAAAAAAAAAACATCCTACTGGTGAAGTGGATTTTATACTCTTTAAAGTGTGAAGTTAATCTATATATTCAAATTATATGTGTATAATCTGCTTGTAGACTTGCATACCATTAGAAGAATTACCATATCACAAGAACTGGATAAGTTATATAGTTACCAGGTTTGGGTCAGGGGTTAGCATAGGTGGAAATTGAGGTCAGGGCTTAACCTAGGTGGAATTTGTGTGACATATGTAGATCAAAGGGAAAAATAGTTGCAAAAGAAGTATATAAGCAGGCCAGAACATCAGTGAGACAATTTTTCAGACAGAGATGCTACTGGGGGTCTCCTGAAAGTTCTCCTTTGTTGTCGACAATAAAGTATATTCTTCTGATATTCATAACCTCCAGACTGAGTTTGATTCAGTAAGAGAAAAACCAGAAACCATTACACTGGTAAGTGTCAATATTATCCCAAATTGAACCTTATTAATAATAACTATGGATCAACTAAAGAAACTGCTGTATAATGGAATAAATGATTAGCTGTTACACTGTTAACCATTGAAAATATAACATTTAAGCACAACTTTAATATGAAAAAATAATGTTTAAGTGTTATATTTTAAATGGTTAACAGTGTGTTAATGACTTATATGTATGACTTCATATATAAATAAAATATACACATATGAAGTCAGAATTATTAGCCCCCCTGTATATTTTCCCCGATTTCTGTTTAACAGAAAGATTTTATCAACACATTTCTATACTTTTAATAACTAATAATTAATAACAAGTTTCTTTTATCTTTTCTATGATGACAGCACATAATATTTCACAAGATGTTTTTCAAGATACTAGTATGTAGCTTAAAGTGACATTATAAGACTTAACCAGGTTAATTCGGCAAGTTAGGGTAATTAGGCACCTTAAAATGATTTAGAAAACATTAAAAACTGCTTTTATTAAAGTCGATATAAAACAAGTAAGACTTTCACCAGAAGAAAATATATTACAGAAAATACTGTGAAAAATTTCTTGCTCTGGTAAACATCACTTGGGAAACATTTGAAAAAGAAAAAAATTATTTTGACTTCAGCTGTATAAATATATATATTGAAAAGTAACGACTAACTATTTACTTGAGTAATATTTTCATCAGATACTTTTTTACTCTTACTCGATTAACTTTTAAGATTGCTACTTTTACTTCAGTAAAAATTTCTGCAAGTACTTTTACTTGAGTATAGATTTTGGATACTCTACCCACCTCTGGACATCATATTTTAAATCTTGTAAAAGAAAGCATAATAGTTCCCTTTAAAGGGACAACTAAAAATAAAGTTTGTTTGGCCTTTGGGCTACTTTACTTTAGCAAAAAAAAATCTGGCAACCCTGAAAACAGCAGCTGCTGATGGCTCACCTGTTCAGTGAGGAAGGAGGGTTTGTAGGCGCCGTCGGTTGAGGTGTTTCCGGTTCCCCTCATGGACTTCATGTGAGAGACGGCCATGCGCAGGATGGTGAGTTTGTCTGGTTTTCTGGCCAGGGCGCTGCAGGTGGGTACCATGTCCGACAGCTCGGTGATGTACTGCGTCATTTTATTTCGTCTGCGCCGCTCGATCTCGCTGTGATTCTCTCTGCACGCAGACCAACAACAATAAGACACAGCAGAGAGTCACAAACACACAGACACATGCACTGCACCAACACTTTACTGTTAGTTTTATGTTTTATATAGATTAATTAAACATAATAATATAATGTACAGTTGAAATCAGAATTATTAGCCCACGTGTACATATTTTCCCCAATTTCTGTAGAATTTTTTTAACATTTCTAAATTTTGTAGAAAATTATTGCTTAATGAGTCTAATAATATTGACCTCAAATGTTTCTTAAAAAAAATAAAAACTGCTTTTATTCTAGCTGAAATAAAACAAATAAGACTTTCTCAAGAAGAAAAAAAATTATAGGAAATACTGTGAAAAATTCCTTATATATACAAATGTTTAAAATAAAAAAATAAATTCACAGGAAACTAATGATTTGAACTTATAACAGCAAGCATTAATAAATTATTTATTATTTATAATGTAATTAAATAATAATATATTGTACATAAAAGCAATGCACATAACAGTAATAATAGTAACATACTTCAAGCATAAGCAATAACTGTATTCTGTCATAAGTCTATAATAAAATACTGTACGTAATAGTACTGTATATAATAGAAATAATAGTACTACACTGCAAGTATTAATAATTCTTATTACATGTATTTATAACGTAATTAAACAATAAAATAAAGTACATAAAAAGCATTTAACATAACATTACTTAGTGACATATTTCAAGCACTAATAACTGTATCATTTCATATATTTATAACAAAATACTGTACATAATAGTATAATAGTACTATCCTGCAAGTATTAATAACGTTTATTACATATATTTATAATGTATTTAAACATAATATACAGTGCATGATAGTACTGCATATCATATCAATAAAAGTAATATACTGTAAGTGTTGATAACAGTCATTACAAAAATTTTAAGTGTAATTACATATACCAAAATACTATACAAAATACTACAATATTTAATAGCAGTAATAGTACTATACTGAAAATATTAATATCTTTTATTTTGTAAATTTGTAATGTATTAAATCAAACAAAATACTAATTATAATAGTAATGTATATAATATATATGCTGTGATAGTCACTGGGATGTACACATACACTCACCAGCCACTTTATTAGGTACACCTACTAGTACCGGGATGGTCCTTTTGCCTTCAGAACTGTGGCAAAGATTCATCAAAGTACTGGAAATATTCCTCAAAGATTTTGGTCCTTATTGATAGATGTACCTAATAAAGTGGCCGGTGAATGTACACTGTAAAACTTAGCTTTTTGTAATCATTATATTTATAAAATTAATGATGATGATTATTATTATTATTATTAACCTAATATATAATTATTAACACCAAATAAATAGCTAAATAATGCACATTTAAAACTATGTATAGACTTTATTTTGATTTCATTTTTAC